GGCCGACGCTCTAACCAATAAGCAAACCAGGCAGGGCTATGAATCATATTTTAAACATTATATTTAAGTCAAAGGAAATCTCCTCATCACCCTTCTTCTTTCTGATGGTGGATTCAGGACAGAACATGGAAGCCATGGGAAAGTCTCTTACATTGTAAAAATAACGTGTGAAAGTTTAGGAAATATTCACGCGAATGAAAGAACAATCCAGGTGTCTGGGCCTGAATTCACACCGTTTGCTTCTCACCAAGCTCGTGGGGCTGAGGGTACCCTGGGGGCAGAACCAGCCTGGAGGGACAGGAGAGGCCCCCGAGGAAGGTGACCCTTCAACGCAGGAGGCAGAGGAGGGAGCAGCCAGGGTGAGGGCAGAGCGGTCTGACCTCTGAGCTGTCCCCAGTGTGCTGAGAGTGCGTGTGTGCAGCAGGTCGGGTTTGTCCGTGAAAATTAAATGAAAAGTAAATAAGTAAATAAATAAATACATAAATAAATAAATAAAGAGAAAATGCCAATTCTCGCCACAAAGACGAGGTGGGAGGTCAGGGGAGATCTCACGAGCTGGGCCGTCAGGCTGAGACCGTGTCATCATCAAGAGCCCACCTGGGCCACACGTGGTGAAGGGAGCGGATGTCCTCACCACCCCGAAGCCATGGGACCCAGGCGTCCGCAGTGACTCACGCTGGTCCCACAAATCAGCCAAACACCGGAGCACGTGGGTGGGGCCCGCCCACACTGAGGACTATAAAAGGCTCCCCACAGGGAGAGGCCACCAGACAGAAGTCACCCTCACACCTTCTCCACCCGAGACACCCTCCTCACCCGCACCATGTGTGGCTACTACGGAAACTACTACGGGGGCCTCGGCTCCGGGTGCTGTGGCTACGGCGGCCTGGGCTACGGCTGGGGCTCCTACTACGGCCGTGGCTACGGCTGTGGCTGTGGCTGTGGCTACGGCTCCTACTATGGCCGTGGCTACGGCTGTGGCTGTGGCTACGGCTGTGGCTGTGGCTACGGCTGTGGTCGTGGTTTTGGCTACTACTATTGAGGACGCCATGGGACCCACCCTCTGACTCCCCAGTTACTGATTCCCGGGACCTGAACCCCTGATTCGATGCCTCAGCCCCAGATGAGTTCATTCCACCCAGCACTGCCCACCGCTGACACGGTCTGTCAAGGGCCCGATGCCCCATGACACCTGGAAGATGCAAAATTCGTCCTGTGAAGTGATCCTCTCAATACCAGCGTGACACTGGAATGGCTCCGAATTCTGAAATCTCTGCTCAATTTGCTTTTCTGTGTTTCTAATAAATTTTGAATTTCCTAATAAATCTGAAAGAGAAAACTTACGTCATCTCCTTTCACTTATTATGCGGCCTTTGCCCTTGCTGCTCGCTTGAGCTGTGGAAAGAGGCTTCCTCAGACCACTGTTCTCTTTGCTGCTCTGATGCCCCGACTTGTGACCTCAGAAAACCGGGGTCCCCTGTGACTCTCAGTCCTTGGTCTGGGGATGAAAGGGGACTTTTCCTTCATCATGATTTTAGCTCTTTGTACTTTTTGCTCTACAGCGTTCTATAGCCTTTCACGTGGGAATGAGGCCATATCAAAATTAAACAACATGTAAATATCTAAACACACAAGTAAAGACAGAGAGGATCGAATTGACTAAAACCAGACTCATCTATATATTTTTTATGAGAGCATCACTTTAAATGTAAGTGTGTGTGTGTGTGTGTGTGTGTGTGTGTGTGTGTGTGAAGCAGAATTTCTAGGGATAGGAAACACTTTGAACTGAATGTCAAACTTTGTGAAACACCAATGAAGCAATGATTAAAGGGACACGTAAGACAGGCCAGGCCATGATATATAGAAATACAGAAAAGTTTCCAAATCAGTAATACAAGCTACCTCCTTAATATTCAGGAAAGAAACACCAAAAAAATAAAATAAAATAAAGGAAGGAAAAAAATACAGATAACAGCTCAAGGTCTCATCATTTTAAAAGGAAAAGAGAGACATAAATGAAACCGATAGCTGATTCCATGAAAAGTTTTCCAGTTGATAAACCTCTAGCCGAAGCAAGGAAATAGGAGAGCAGACACATTGTATCGAGAGGAGGGATACAAAGGAGGCATCACTACAGACCCTGCAGCACCACTAGACCAGCAGGGATCAGGGCTGTTCTCCCTTCTCCCCAGTGACAAGGTGCTGGTGCCCTTGGCTGGACCCTGCCAACAAGGTGGTCTTTGCTCACGCTTTTCCCTCTGGGGGTCTGGAAGGTTCCTGGTGTCTTTCTGATCTCAGGCATTGGATCTACTCTAGGGGTTCATGGGGCACAAATAATATCACACCCAGAATGTTCATTTCCATTGCTGGGAATAGTGAGCTCTGCACGCCCCCCGCCCCCGAGGGAGAAAGTACCAAAGTTCTGCACACAGACCCCCCCCCCAGGGGGCTGGGGTCTTTCCCTCCTGACCCAGCCACGTCTTTGACTATTTGTGTGATCAGTCTCAGCCAGAGCACTGGTCTGTGTTGAGTCCCGCGAGTCCTTCTATCAAACTCCACACAGAAGGGGTGATCATGGGGGCCCCCCAACACCACCCCCTGGAAGAGCAGAACCATGTCAGCACAGAACAGCAGCCATTTGCAAGGATTCAGGGTTCGGAAGGTCGAGTCTGGAAAGGGGTTTGAACGAGGCCTAGGGAATTTGGAGGGAGGGGAGCCACCGTTGTGTGAGTGATCAGGGTGATCGTACCACGACACTGAGTGCTTTTCCAATCACAGAGCTGCAAGTTGGAAGAGTGGAATTTTCTGTCCATAAGTGAAAGGAATTAATAATGAAAGACGTGCACTGGCCAGTTTGGCTCAGCGGTTAGAGCGTTGGCCTGCGGTCCAGAGAGACCCGGGTTCGGTTCCCGCTAAGGCCACATACTTCGGTTGCAGTTTGTCCCCGGCCCTGGTTGGTCGTGCAGGTGGCAGCCACTTGATGTGTCCCTTTCACATCGATGTTTCTCTCTCTCTCTCCCTTCCTCTCTCTCCCTCCTGTTCTATCTGTACAAAAAATGGAAAAATATCCTCGGGTGAGGATTAAAAAAATAATAATAAAAATAATGAAAGACGTGGGGAAATGAAAACTTCACCAAATGATGACAGTTTGTGGAGAAAAGTATGAAGAGTAGTTCTCATGGGCTGCACAGCAGTTGAACTAAGTGGCCAATGGGATCTCACTCGGTCTGAGAACTCCCAAACACAGACCTCGTCCTCCCTTTAACAGAGGAGGAAATCGACGAACTTTAACTGCTTTTCTTTGTTTTCCTCCAATTGTTCTTTATTTTATTTCCTTCCATCAATATTTATCCCGCGTACAATCCTCCACCTCCACCCTGCCCCCCGCACTCAGCACCCTGTGGTTCTGGTCCCCGAGTGCTTTTCCTTTTCTTTTCTTTTTCTTATTTTGCATAATCCCTCCATGACCCACCCCACTTCCCAGGTCACAGGCCACCCCCTGAAGGGCCAGCCTGCTCTCTATCCATGAGTCTGTCTCTATTTTGCTGGTTAGTTCACTTTATTCATTAGACTCTACCTATGAGTGAAATCATGTGGTACTTGTCTTTCTCTGACTGGCTTATTTCACTTTGCATGACGCTCTCCAGGCCCCTCCATGCTGGCAGGAAGGGTGAGATCTCCTTTTTAGGGCTGAGTAATACTCCATTGTGTAAATGTACCACAGCTGGTTGATCCACTGTGGTAAATACCACTGCAATGAACATACGGGGTCAAGTACTCTTTTGAAGTACTGTTTTGTTCTTTTTCAGATAAATTCCCAGAAGCGGAATCCCTGGGTCAGGAGGCAGTCCAGTTTTCCATTGTTGGGGTAACTCTGCACTGTTTGCACAGTGACTGAAGCAGTCTGCATTCCCACCAACCGTGCACGAGGCCCCCTTTTCTCCACACCCTCGCTGACACCTGTCCTGTGCTGATGTGTTGATGGCGGCCGTTCTGACAGGTGTGAGGGGAGATCTCAGTGGTTCTGTTTGCCTCCCTCTGATGATGACTGACATTGAGCATCTCCACATCTGTCCTCTGGCAGAAGTGTCTGTGCAGGACCTCTGCACATTTTTTAACCAAATTGTTTGTTTTGCTGGTATTGACTTCTATGAGTTCTTTCTAAACTCTGGAGAGCAACCTTCCATCAGATAAGCGGGTGAATGTGTCCTGCCATTCGGTCGGCTGTCTTTCCATCGTGGTGATGGTCTCCTTTGTCTGCAAGAACATTTTAGTTTGATGCCTCCCATTGTTCATTGTTTCTTCTGGTTGCCTGTCCCTAGGGGATGTGTCAGGAAATACTGCTATGAGAAATGTTCAAGATGTACTGCCTGTTTTCTTCTGGGATTTGTATGGTTTTGAGCCTTCCATTTAGGTCTTTAACTCATTTGAAGTGTGTTCTTGTGTGTGGTGTAGGAAGGGGGTGTAGGTCCATTTTTGCATGTATCTGTCCAATGTTACAGCCTTAAATGCGCTCCCCAAGTCCCACCCTGGAACTAGAGCGGCTGGAGCAGGAACATCAGGAGGGTACAGCTCACGGTCACACGACACCTGCCTGGAATCCAGCAGGTTAAAGAGCCCTAACACTTACCCAAAATTCTATAATAGACAAAGAACAGAGAGAAACCACGTTTGCTTTCAGGTTGACCGGGTTTATTGAGACCATGGGAAACAGCTCGGAGCATTACAGATGCCGGTGGGACCAGGAGCTGCTGCGCCGGTGAAGGAGATGGGGAGACTCAGGGAGAGGTCACATGTGCTCCCCAGGAGGCCAAGGGCAGGGATAAGGGTCGAGAGGGTTAGGCCCGGGGAGGGGACACCGGATGGCAGGGAATCGCAGATCACACCCAGGTCTGTGGTGGGAGGACCAGCCCAGCCTCGCCTGCTGACCCAGGGCATAGGGCTCAGGGCTGGTGGGTTAGGAGGTTACGTGGGTGAGAGATAAAAGTCTCCAGGCGTCCTCAATAGTAGTAGCCACAGCCAGAGCCGTAGCCACGGCCACAGCCATAGCCACAGCCACAGAGAGAGCCGTAGCCATAGCCACGGCCGTAGCCACAGCCACAGCCGTATCCACAGCCATACCCACAGCCACAGCCATAGCCACGGCCGTAGCCACAGCCACAGCCACAGCCGTAGCCACGGCCGTAGTAGGAGCCCCAGCCGTAGCCCAGGCCGCCGTAGCCACAGCATCCGGAGCCGAGGCCCCCGTAGTAGTTTCCGTAGTAGCCACACATGGTGCGGGTGAGGAGGGTGTCTCGGGTGGAGAAGGTGTGAGGGTGACTTCTGTCTGGTCGCCTCTCCCTGCGGGGCCCTTTTATAGCCCTCAGTGGGGTGGGACCCACCCCGTGTCTCGTGCCATTGGCTGATCTTATGACTAAGCTAATGAGTTTGTTCTTTCTCAACCAGAAGACCAAGTCCTCCAGCTACAAAGGAAGCTTGTTTGTTTGACCACAGGCTCTGCCCTGAAGCAGCGCGGGGCCAGGAGGAGCGGAGACGTCCCGGGCCCCGGCACCCGGCCTCCCCGTCGTCCCTCCCACAAACACGCATCCTTAACAGGTGTCATGTGCAGCCAATTTCGACTTGCTCGTGGCCCAGGATGACATCTAGACTCTCCTCCTTGTCTTCCCAGAACCCGCACCCTCGTTTCCAACCCGCCGCCCGTACTTTGCCAGGTTTCAGAACCACGTGTCTCCTCCGCGGTCCGCTGGCTCCCTGCTGGGAGGACGTGGCGGAGGATCCGGCTCTTGCCCGTCTCTCCCCCTCAATCAGGGAACCAGCTCGTTAGGTTCCTGGAAGAACCAGCCTGAGCCAGCGGCAGGGGCGTCGTCCTGGCACCGTTGCTCTACTTCCTCTGCCTAGTGTTTCCTGGACACTCAAGGGCTGCTCCGTGGGCCCCTCTCCAGCGCCACCACCCGGAGCGTGGGGATGGTGCATGCTGTTTTATTGAGATTTCTGTCAATTGCCATTTTCATTAGGTGCTGTTCTGGGGGGTTTTAGCTTTTCTTGGTTCTTAATCCCTTCTTTAAGGTGAACAATGTTAAACTGGGTACCTTTCCACACAGCTATGGCACATCCATTACCTTTAACTAAACACAGCACTGACACTCTCATGTCCAACATCTGGAAATCCCATTCCAAGAAAGATAATTGCCACGTTTACAAATACGTGAGTCACAGAGACTTTGTGGAAAGGTATGTGCCTGCCCCACAACTGTGGAATCACAGAAATCTCCCAACAAAGAGACAGTGGAACGCCAGGCGAGTCTCTACGCAAACACTTAGTGGGGTTCAGAGATGACGTCTTTTAAAAACAAATGTTTAAATCATAGTTAGGCTCGTAAAAGTTAGATGGAGACAGGCAGTTTTGAACTTCTCTACCTCTTAATCTGGGCAAGCACAAGAAAGACTTATCTTGTTTCAATACACCCGAACCAAAGACTTGAACCTGGAATCATATGTCAACCTTCACATATCCTAAGGAATTTCTGATGAAAAGCACTTGGGATACATTGTTTCCGTGCAATGCTTCCCTAAGCTGACAAATGTTACCTTGTTCATCTCAACAACAGCCCAACATGAAGCATGTGGTTACCCATAAGCAGAGGACAGAACCCACGGCTACAATAACTGTTACCTTCTTGTTGTCATGAATCAGGGATCTGGTAGAACAGCTGTGTCTGGGGCAGGGACGTGATAGGTGATTGCCGGCCGTTCTGTCTCAATGCCACCTGAAGTCCTTGTCTGCGTAATCCAGGGGAAGGCTGTCCCTTGAGCTTTGTGGAGCCATGAGACCAAGATGTTGGAAGAGAAGGCATTGGTTTTCATGAGAGACTCAGGCTCTGTCTTGATGATGTTAAATTTCAGATGGTCTGGCCTGTGTGGCTCAGTGGTTGAGCATGGACCCTGCACCAAGAGGTTGCCTGTTCGATTCCCGGTCAGGACACATGCCCAGGTTGTGGGCCTGATCCCCAGTGGGGGGCGTGCAGAAGGCGGCCAGTTGATGTTCTCTCTCATCGATGTTTCTATCTCTCTCTCCTTCTCACTTCCTCTCTCTGTAAAATAATTTTTAAAAAGTCAAAAAATTTCAGATGACTGGATGATAGAGAGCTTGAAGATAAAAACTGAATTATCAAGCAGACAGTTGAAGATACATCCATAAAGAGTCATGGTAAGGAGCAGAGGGCGGCCCAGACATAGCTCTGAGGTTGAGGTCAAGTTGTGGAGAAGGATAAGAACAAATATCCTGAAAGGGCGAAATGGGAGCCGGATTCCAAGTGAGATCAAGAAAGAAACCTTCCCCTGATCTGAATTTCCAGGACAGAGAAACAAGCCAGGTTTTCCGGTGGCTGGACCGACGGGGAGCTGTCGGCAGAGGGCCGGCCAGCGGGGCGAAGGTTGGGGAAAGAAAGGAGACCGGGAAGCCGTCTTAGAAACTACAGTTTTGAAATGTTCTATAAAAGGAAACGTGAATTCAGATAGCACCTTGGACACTCACGGGAGTTTTCTTGGGGAAAGATTTGTTCGATTTGTTTTTCATGGACATCATGAAGCATTAATTATATTTCAGAGCGCTAGAGCAACAATGTGTGCGTGTGTGTGTGTGCGTGTGCACGCGTATGCGTGTGTGTGCGTGTGCGTGTGCGTGTGTGTAAGATGGCCATGGCCAGGAACTGGCAGAGGTAGGGAGTGAGCGTGTGGTAGGAGCAGTGACCGTGGACACACTGGTTCTGCATCTGTCACACCCACTGGAGACACGGCACTGAGGGTGAGCCTGTCCGTGGACTGTCGGCATGTCGGTGACAGTCCCTCTGGGGGCTCCTCACCGGTGGCGCCTGCACCACCCTGGCTCAGAGGTCCCCTTTGGGGGGTCGTGTGTGAAGAGACCGGGTTTCTGCTCAGTGTTGCTGTGACCCTCACGGCTTGGGAAGGCGTGCTCGCTGCTCTGAACACAGTGCCGAGCGCACCAGCACGCGCTGTGCGACGGATAAGCCTCAGCTCTTCATAGGAAGCGGGCAGTTCCTAGAACAAGCTCTCAGAGAGTTGGCCTGACCAGTGTTTGTGTTGGGACGTTGACAGCTAGTACCTTCCACAGCCATTTGTTTTTTTTATCCTCACTTGAGGACATTTTTCCTTTTTTTTTTTTTTTTAGCCTCACCTGAGGATATTTTTCCATTTTTTTGTACAGATAGAGTGGGAGGGAGAGAGAGGAAGGGAGAGAGAGAGAGAAACATCGACGTGAAAGGGACACATCGAGTGGTTGCCACCCGCACGACCAACCAGGGCCGGGGACAAACTGCAACCGAAGTACGTGCCCCGAAGTACGTGCCCTTAGCGGGAACCGAACCCAGGTCTCTCCAGACCGTAGGCCGATGCTCTAACCGCTGAGCCAAACTGGCCAGGGCCCATTTTTTGTTCAGATAGAGTGAGAGGGGGAGAAAGAGAGAGAGAGAAACATCGATGTGAAAGGGACACATGGAGTGGCTGTCATCCGCACGACCCAACCAGGGCCAGGGACAAACTGTAACCAAAGTACGTGCCCTTAGCGGGAACCGAACCCGGGTCTCCCTGGACTGCAGGCCAATGAACTGGCCAGGACTCCACAGTCATTTTGTAGCTAGTTTTAAACTATCTGCTGAAGAATCATTTCATTAAATAGTATGACATAGTCATACCTGTTCTGGTCCATGAATGTATACAATGTATAAGACTTAAGTCTAAACATGTAAATAGCTATCGCATTATTTCAACAGATGGTCATAAAAACTAATTCTTGCCTGGCCAGTGTGGCTCAGGGGTTGAGCATCGACCCTGCACCAGGAGGTCGCCGGTTCGATCCCCAGTCAGGGCACATGCCCAGGTTGTGGGCCCATCCCCAGTGGGGGTGTGCAGGAGGCAGGCAACTGATGTTCTTTCTCATCGATGTTTCTGTCTTTCCCTCTCCCTCTCCTTTCCTCCCTCTCTAAAATCAATAAAGAACAAAAAATTAAAAATAATTGAATCAGTTGAATGATAAAAAATCAGTTGAATGATACTGATTGAAGGAGTCTCAAGTATGATCATTTGAAGCAGCTGACATTTTCTGTAGGAAAAATTTTTAAGTGCCTGATATAGCAAAGATTTCCTTCCAGCTCTCATCTTTTTCTTTTTCCTTTGTTTATTGATTTTAGAAAGAGTGGAAGTAAGAGGGAGAGATAGAAACATCGATGAGAGAGAACATCGATGGGCAGCCTCCTGCACGCCCCCCACTGGGGAGGGGGCCCCCAACCTGGACATGTGCCCTGACCGGGAACTGAACAGGGACCTCTTGGTGCAGGGTCGAGGCTCAACCACTGAGCCACACGGGTTGGGCTCAGTTATCGTCTCAGTGAAAGAGGGGCTAAGGTAATATGTAACCATGACAACGTGTCTGGCTTGCAGAAATATACTTCTCAATAAAAATGGAAAATGCGCGGTAGGGTGCCTGCTGTCGGATGCACGTCGGTGTCTGACCCGGTGCCCGGTGGGGAATACAGCTCCTGTCCCACCTGCCCTTTCGCTCCTGACGAATCAGTCGCTTACCAGAGCAGAGGAGTCCAGGCATCGAGCTCTGTGTCCGGAATTCCAGAGAACAGTGGACGCGGGGTCCCCCTCCCGCCCCACCCTCTGCCACACAACTCAGCCCCCCACTGGGACCGTGAGGACATGTGCACACCCGGGTCCGCGATGACGGACATGTGTGTGACCACGCAGCTTCCCGAACCCTCCCCCACCCCGAAGCCAGTAGCTCGCGGACAGTAACAATTTCCTCCTGGCTTTCCAATGCGTCCTAATACCTCGAAGCATCATAGTGCAAACAGTACAGTAAAAAATCAGTAACCGTTCGACCATGGGCCTGATTCACGATAGATTGCCCGCTTAACATACTGTCTTTACAAAGCAGTTCAGCCTTGAGGACGTGTGAAATCTGACTGAAAGACACCGGTGAGTCTGCCGTCAGCGGATCCTTGTGTATCTCCACGTGCATCGACCGCCCTGTTTACTGTGAGGGATCAAAAACAAGCGTCTGGGGAGTGGACATCACAGGTACATTTCATAATTACCCGATTATCAAAGATCGGTAGATTCTAAGAAGGTAAAAAATTGCATTTATTGAATATGGCAATTGACAAAAACATCAATAGAACAGCATGCACCATCCCCACGCTCCGGTGGTGGCGCTGGAGAGGGGCCCACGGAGCAGCCCTGTGAGTGTCCA